TGCATTTCCTACCCTGGGGAGGGAAAACAATTCTTAATTTGGGGAATTGTAAGGCCAGAATAGAATTTCCAGTTAAAGTTTTAGGTCTTGTGATTGTTATTCTATATATATAAATTTTAGAAACTGTACTTTTTAATATACAGTTCCCTAGTTTAAGCATAGAAGCTCCGGTAGCATAGTGGCTAAAGCATTTGACTGCTAACCAGAAGGCTGGTGGTTCAAACGGTTCAAACCCACCAGCCACTCCTCGGAAGGAAGGTTGGGCAATCCTACTTCCGTAGTGATACTGCCTCGGAAACCGAAGGAGGGGTTGCTATGAGTCGGGGCCGACTCGACGGCACATAACAACAACAACAAGAAGTTTAAGCATAAAGAAACATTAGCCTGAATCTTGCCAAGGTTGTTTAGGAAAGCTAGATTAAAAATAATTAATTAATTAATTAATTAATTAAAGCTAGAATTTAGTTGTTTTATGTTTACATCATCCTTATATTTTCTTATGGCAATAGTGTGTTTTTTCATCAGCCTTTGACATTTAGGAAGTTTAAGTTATGCATTAAAAGCTCTGCAAGAAAGTAAACTTGAATGAATTTTTTTCTCAGTCCCAGAGGGAATATGAACTTTCAAATTGAATGCTGAGCCTAACAAAAGGCACAGCTAAGTCTGAAAGTATTTATGATAAAGTACAGGACTCAATTCCTACTTTATCCTCTGTCTACACTCAAAGGAAACCTGGGTATATAACTTTATGATAAAGCATTCTTACAAAGTGTGTGAAAGCTAAACAATCAAATAAATCTGATAGTGTTAGAAACCTGAGTGCATACAGCTACTCACCATGTACATAAAGTCTTGATGTACATATTAAACGTTTGCACAGATTGACATTGCTAGACATACAGGAACCCCCTCCTGGATTTAAGAATGAGCTTGGTTTCTGTTCTGGATAGCTAGTGCCTCTCTGACAAGAATATACCACAAATGGGATGGCTTGAACAAACAGGAGTTTATTCTCTTACAGTTCAGGAGGTTAGAAGTCCAAGTTCAAAGTGCCAGGCTCTAGGGGCTGGGTGAAAGCCCTTCAACCTTGGGCTTCAGCTCTGCCTCTTGCTCCTGCCCCACTGAAGCTAGAGGCATCTCTTCACTCAGGCAGCTACTGGCTGCTGAAGCTGACAAGCCCAAGATCAACAAATAAAAAGGTACAGTCCCGATGTTACCACACAGCAGGCCGTTAATTCAAGTCCATTGAAAGTCCCAAGGTCAGCAGAGCATGGCAGGCTGCTGAACAAAGACACAGCCACATGTAGGGTTCAAGTGTACCATAAGCTAGAGACCATTCCCAAAGCTGTTTCTTATATGCGGGAAGCAGACAACATCCCTAAAGCAGCTACTCAGTTGCTTGTGGTAGGTTCCACCATGGAATTGATTGCCATTCTCATCACGGGGAATAACTACCACCAGCTGCCCACCCACTCAACCAGGCCCAGCCAAGGTGACACATAAACTTAACCACAGTTTCCTTTTCTGTTTTTGAATGTGGTGGAGGTTCAGAATGTCATGGCAGGAAAAAAGTGTTTCAGTTAAGCAGAGTACTGGTATCCTTCATGACTGTATACCTTCTGAAGGCTGTTAAACCAGATGGGGAGTGGGCTTAGGGAAAGGATCCTCTTTGTAAGCAGGAGATTGGTGTCCTGGCACCTTTAGACATTGTGGATGGGGGAATTTATCAAGATTGTTGTGCCTATGCCCTGCACGGTGTAGTACTTTTCATACATTAGCTTGCTTAATACTTTTATTGAGCCTTTGAGGGGTAGGTGATATCATTTACATTTTAAAGTTGAGGAAACAGATTGAAAAAAGTTAAAAGTAACTTGCCATTATGTGACTAAGACAAGAGTCTAACCAGACTTCTGACTCCAGAGCCTAAGTGTGTATGCATTGACGATGTACTTGCTTGTAAAGAGAAGTGGTAAAATGTTACTTACCGTATTTATTTATCTTCCCACAACTTGGCTTCTTTATTATTGGATTTAAGTTGATTATTCAGAGGAAACAAAATGCAAAGGTGCGTTAGAGCCAAACAATATTAAAAGACTAGTTTGAAATTAGTGTTTGAGACTGCTGACCATACTGTTCTTGAAAAACTCCTTCAACACGCTATTGTTGGGCAACGTTGGGTGGCTAAATGTCATCTATGGATAGCTGAGCTGGGTATCACAAGAAACAAGTCCACAAAACCTGTTTAAGGATTATTTCCCTTCAGCCTCACTGGACAAAATGAAGTTACACTATCTGTGGGTGCCACCTGGGACTTACGGCTCTTCAAATATCCATTCAGTTATCTTTAACTACAAAGTATTTGCAATCTGCCCTATGCCTGCATGCTTCTGCAGCCAGATACTTGGGCAGAGTTTACACATAATATTTGAGGCTCCTACTCTCTAGTTTTCTCCATTCTAGGATTTCCTCCCATACTTTCTAGCTGCTTTGGTTACCTCTACCTCTGCCCTTTAACCCAGCGAAAGTGCCAGTTTCTCCAAATTTTAGTAACCTAACCTGGCACAGACTGAGGCCTGTCCTCAGCTGAAGGCTTCAAGAATGGGAAGTGTACCAGTGCCATGCCATTTCCCTCTTCTATGTGTCGTATTTTTACCTACAATTTGTGCCTTCTTTTGTTCAGTCTTTAGTACCTTCAGATAGATTTTTATTATTGTTGTCATTTTCATATTTTTCCAGAATGTGTAATTACCTGTATATGTGTTTTGGAAAGGGGAAGTCTGAAAGGAACTACTTAGCCATTTTTAGAAGTGGAACTTTAAAGAGCTATCTTTTCATAAGAGCTGTCTTTTCATGTATCAAATCCTGTGCAGACCCATCACCTTGCATGTCAAAAGATAGCACCAAAAATGTTTTGGTACTGATACAGAGTCACCGGTCACTGTTGACTTTCTTACTTTTGCCTGTTGAGTTCATGCAGTATTTTCCCATCTAAAACTAGTTGGCCATCAGGTCAGTTCCAACTCATGGTGACCCCATGTGTGTCATAGTACAACTGCTCATAGGTGTTCAGTGGCTGATTGTGGTGGTTATGTTTGTGTGTCAACTTGGCTAGGCCTGGTTGAGTGGCTGGGCAGCTGAATGTAGTATTCCCCATGATGAGACTGGTAATCAACTCCATGGTGGAATCTACTGGGAGCAGCTAAGTAGCTGCCTTTGGGTATGTGGTCTGCTTCCTGTATATAAGGAGAAGCTTTGAGACTGGTCTCTAGCCTATGGCATGCTTGGACCCTGCATGAAGCCATGTCGTTGCTCAGTAGCCTACCATGCTCTGCCGACCTTGGTACTTACAATGGACTTAAGCCAATGGCCTGCCGTGTGGTAACATCGGGACTGTGCCTTTTTGCTTGTCAACCTTGGGGTTTCTCAGCCTTAGCAGCCAGCAGCTGTCTGAATGAAGAAAAGCCTCTAGTTCCAGTGGGCCAGGAGCAGGAGGCAGAGCTGGCCCCAAGGTTGAGGGGGATTTTACTCAGCCCCTTAGAGCCTGGCACTTTGAACTTGGACTTAAAGCCTCCGAATTGTAAGAATAAACTCCTGTTTGTTAAGGCCATCCCATTCATGGTATATTGTTGTCAGAGCAGCACTAGGAACCAGAACAGTGATTTTTCCAAAGTAGATTGCTAGGCTTTTCTTCCAAGGGACCACTGGGTAGACTCAAACCTCCAGCCTTTCTGTCAATTGTTCGTACCACCCAGGGAGTCCCAATTTCCCACCTCATTCCCTCCTCAATTCAGTTATGGCTCAAAAAGTATTCATTGAGTGCTTCCTAGCTGCCAGGCATTATGCTTAGATAATTCTTTTGAAATCTTGTTCAAAATCCACATCAGATGCAAAGACCTCCAAGATTACTCCTTCTGTCCCCTCAGGTAGATAAAATGAATCTTACCTCTCAATGCCTTTGAAACTTTGTTCTTCCCTTACCATGTTTTATTTATTTACATACTGGCTTTCTCCCACCAGTTTTGTGCCCCACTAGATTATAAACTTCACTTTGGCAAGGACATAGTTTTACTCATGTTTATATCTGTCTCTTAACCATGGTTTTTAAAGTCCAGAACTGAAAAGATACATGGAAGTCTTTGTAGTTGGAAGGAGAGGAATAAATAAATATAGGGCATGAGGCTTCCTCTCTCTGTTCTTAGCAGTAGAGAAAGACATCAAGTAATAAAGCATTCTTTGTTTCTAGAAGACATCTTTATGAGACTTCATTTTTTTCTCTCTTCTTTGTTTTCCTCTCCCATGTCCTCCTCCTCCTCATTGTCCTCCTTATCATCTTCATTCTCCTCTCCCTCTTTCCTTTATTTCCTATTTAATTATTATCTAATTAAAAAAAAAAAAATCTGTGTAAGCACAACGTTTTTGTTTGCCTTGTCTCATCTTTAAAATAGAGACACAGGGAAGAGATAGCTGTGGGGAGGAAGTGAGAGGGGAGCTGTTGCATTGTGGGAAATTGTAGTCAATGTCATGAGACAAAGTGTATGTGAGCTGCTGTATGGAAAGTGAATTTACTCTGTAACCTTTCACCCAAATCACAATTAAAAAAATTATATATATATGTATGTATATGTGTGTGCGTGTATATAAAAACCTTTGTATTTGTAAGAAACATCTTGTTCTTTAAGTTGTTATAGTTCAGTAGAGAGCTTTTCCATCACTTTTGAAAATTCAGGGCCAAAACACAAGCAACAGACAAGTGCTGCCCCAGAAATGAGTGAGAGAAGAACCCAAACATTTTATTCTTCTTTTGCTTATTCTTCCTTAATTTGTGAAATACTGCAATGAAGTATTGAATTATCATACTTAATAGGTTGAATTATCAGTAATAAAGGACAACTATATGCATTTTTCTCTTTGAGCCCAGGTAACATTTACTGTAAAATGAAAATGGTAGAAATAAGATTAAATGTCTTTAACTAGTTCTGATAATCTCACTTCTTCCTCAGATTCAGGTCAGAAGACATTTAAAAGGAGGAGATCTATCATAAACTGGGCTTTTTGGAGGGGTTCTAGCACTCATCTGGACAACTTGCCCATATCACCAACATCTCCTATGCCAGGCCAGCTTTTTGGTGTTTCTCTGCCAAATATCTGTGAGAATGACAATCTGCCCAAACCTGTTTTGGTAAGTCTTATTTTGGTTTGTAACACTAATGGCAACAGAAGTTTAGAAAGATGGAGCTCTGGGAGGTAAACCTATCCCCAAATGGAAAAATGACAGACACTTCTTGACTCTGGCTGAGAACCTTTATTTAATTATTATTTCAAAGAATAAAATCCGATTTAGCTATTGCAGAACCATAAGGCTGACATGATAGGAAAAGATAATCTAGTCTAGTCTGCAGGTGTCAGGAAAGAGGCGCATAAGCCTGCTCAGATAAATTAGAATTGTCTCTGTAGAGAACCCACATTATCCCTCCATTTCTCTCAAATCCTTTCTTGAGCTCCATACTATTCTGAAAGTCTCCTTTAATTACTTTAGCAATAGAAACTACTCGATCTTACATTTTTAAAAAATCTTACCTGTTTTATTTGTCTTTTAAATGCTTACACATGAAGACACATCCACTGCCATATAGAGAATGTTTATATAGAGTATATCAGATGAAAACCACTTATTTTGTATTGTCTCCAACTGACATATTAAATGGTGTTAAGCGACACTGAGTATCCAGTAGCCTCCAAGCACTATACTAAATATATGGCATTTTATGGTAGGTGGTGCATCTCTAAGCACCAGATACTAGTCTAGACCCTTTTATTGCTTATCCTTTACAACATATTGAGGGGGTAGTTGTTATTATCATCATCCGTACTTGACAAATAAAGCCTCAGAACGTTACCAAGGTCACACAATGAATACGTGGCATAACGACATTTCAAATCCCACAGATTGCTCTTCCTATACTGCAAGAAAGGGACAGAGATATAGAAAGCAAACAAAATGAAAAATAGATCAGAACGGACTATCACTGGAGAAAGCTTCCTGGAGGACATGACATTAGGGCCTACTTTAAAAAAAAAAAAGAAGAAGAAGAAGAAGAAAGTAAATACAGAAGTAGGAATAAAGTATGAAGAATAAAGAGAGGGACAAGCAAGTAGAGAATGAGTACGGCAAGAATATGTCCATATAGGGGAAGAGAGTCCATAGTGGAGAATAATGACAAAAGAGTAGTGAGAAAGGAGAGAGACAAGTTAGCAGGGACCTTGAAGCAATCTGAGAAATTTGATTCTAAAATGGCTGTTGCTTCACTGAACAAAGGAAAATCTTTTTAAAGCAAGAGTTTAAGGTAGTAAACTGTTTTAGTTGTTGATTATAGCAAGAATAAATTGGAGAAAAGAAATTTAGAAAACCAGGGAAAAGAAAGTCATTTAGTCTTTTCAGCAGCACCAAAAAAAAAAAAAAAAAAACTCACTGCCGTCGAGTGGGATCCAACTCATAGTGACCCCTCCTTTGGTTTCCGAGGCGGTATCTGTACGGAAGTAGATTGCCCAACCTTCCTTCTGAGGAGTGACTGGTGGGTTTGAACCTCCAGCCTTGTGGTTAGCAGTCATATGGCTTAAGCACTGCGACACCAGAACTCCTTTTCAGCAGCACACCAGCTCCAAGTCTTCAGTGCTTTCACCCTAGTGTACCTTCACCTCTGGCAGCCAGAAGCGGGTAAGTTTGCGTTCCCTTGCTTACATGTATGAAGTGCCATTTTGTTTTGTTTTGTTTTTCTTTGCTTTCCCCATAGGATATGCTTTTCTTTCTTAATCAAAAAGGGCCCCTCACTAAAGGCATCTTCAGACAGTCGGCCAATGTGAAGTCCTGCAGGGAGCTAAAAGAGAAACTGAATTCTGGAGTCGAAGTACACCTAGACTGTGAATCTATTTTTGTGATAGCATCTGTCTTAAAGGTGAGGAAAGTTCTAGCATCTGTCTTAAAGGTGAGGAAAGTTCTAGCATCTGTCTTAAAGGTAGGAAAAGTTCTCCCTTCATCCACCTCACAATGTAGCTCTGGAGCAAAACAGCTGGTTTCTTTAATTTTGAACATTATTCCCATCAGCAAACCATGGTAAATTTAGAATATGAAAAAGTGTAAAAACACTGCACAAAGTCAACGTTGGAGTATAAAAGCCACCACCAATAATATGGCATCTCAGGTATGCTTTTTTAAAAAAATTTTAGAATTTTTCATCCTATACATGCTCCACCCATGCAAAAATACAAGTAAATTTAAAAAAATAATCTAAACACATACATCATGTTTACCAAAACATACATCCTGCTTTTGAAGACTTCCTTAATATCTTCTTCCTAACAAAGGAAAAAATTTCAAAAATAAACTTTCATTAAACTTTAAAAATAGCTATAGAAATTTCCCATACTAAACAATTAGCCTTAAAACTGAAACAACACCAAAAAAATTGCTCACTGAGAACTCTGAAAATTCTGTTCATTTACATAATCATGTCTACATATATTCCTTCTCCTGTCCCTTAATGCCTTTTCTTTAAAAGTGGAATGGGAATGCCTTCAACATCTGGGACTTCTTTTACCTTTACCACATTTGGCATTCTTGAGTAGCAATGGGGGGAGAGAAGGGATAAGAACACAAGATTAATAAAGTCACATATATAGTTATAGAGTTACAGAGCTCTTCTAAAATGTTATCCTCCCTGCATTCTTGGAAATGCCTCACAGTTTTTGGGAAACCTAGAGTCAAAACGAGCTTAAAGCAGAGCCTTTTTATTATTATTATTATTATTATTGTGATTTGGGTGTGAGTTTACAGAGCAAACTCACTTTCCATACAGCAGTTCATATACCCTTTGTCTCATGACATTGACTACAGTTTACCCCAGTGCAACAGCTCCCCTCCCACTTCCTCCTGACAGTTACCCCTTCCCTGTGTCCATCCCTCCATGCACTCCTGCCCCCTGAGCTGTCTCCCTGGGCATAAACAGCTCTTCTTTCTCCCATGATTGTTCTTTCCAAGAAGTGTATCTACCTCAGGTAAAGGTTCAACTTGTACATCTGTCTTTTGTTTGGCTGGAAGCCACAGGTGTGGGTTCAATTCCAGAGCTGAAGGGCAGCTAGGGGCCATAGTCTCAATGGTTTCACCAGGCTCTATCAGATCAGCAAACTTGTTTGCCCCCCCCCTTTTTTTTTCCCAAATGATTTTGTCCTTTGTTCCACATTGTTCTCCCTCTCTGTCCAGCATCTCCTACATAGATTCCCCTCTGAGTGGTTGACAGTGGTAGCTGGACATCATCCAGTTCTTCTGGTCTTATAGTTGTGTAGTAAAGCAGAGCTTTTGACCCCCCAAAAAGCTTCTGCAGACCTGCTTCAGACTCCAGTCTCCCAGCAAGGTTGGCAGTGCACTAGTGCCAAGGGTAGAGAAAGTGCCCAGCCTGCATCCCAGGGCCTGGAGCTTAAGGACTAAATTAATACAGGAAAATGGAACACAGTCTCCAGAGACACATGAAGACTCTTGCATACCCTTAACTACAGCTAAAGTGCCCAGGAACTCACACCATCTTACATCATGAGTTTATGAACAATCAGATGTTTCTCAGTAAGTGGGCCATGTCTGTTCTTAACTGCTACAATAGACTTTTGCAATAAAACATCACTCAAAAGAACTGGAAACCTTGAGCTAGCATCATGTAATCTCTTTTGTGGTGGATTTGTGATTACTCTCTAGTCTTGGAATACAATAAAGACATATTGGTGTACCCAGATGTATATACTGGAGATACGTACGCACATGAATTTTTCTTTCTTTCTTTTTTTTTTAATCTGATAGGTTTTTTTTTTTATTCCCCATCTTTAATTTAAGAAGTAAAGGCCTATGTTTTAGAAAATGTTCCCTACTATGTTCTCCTTTGGGAGCTCTGGTAGCGTAGTGCCTAAGGCACTTGACTGCTAACCAGAAGGCTGGCGGTTCAAACCCACCAGCCACTCCTCGGAAGGAAGGTTGGGCAATCTACTTCCGTAGTGATACTGCCTCAGAAACCCAAGGAGGGGTCGCTATGAGTCGGGTCCAACTCGATGGCACATAACAACAACAACAACATACTCTCCTTTACAGCATCTCATTCATTAAAATCTTGTGCCAAATTGCTGAGGCTATTAAAAAAAAACATGGTTTTAAAAGAGTTACATCATCTTTCAAATTGCAGAAATATTACTTGTCTCAAAATAAATAAAGTACAAAAAAGACCCAAATGATTGAGGAGACTGGTTAGATGGGTTCTGAGCAATTGAGGCTTTGTCTTAGTATTTCTGTGATTTTACTCCCATTACTTTCATGTGGTTATAGAAACAGATACTTTTTGAGCTTTTTTGAGTTTTTGAGCTTTTGTTTTGCTTTGATTCTTGTTTTTAAGATGATTTTGAAAGCTGTACTTAAGGTTTCCTTTAATTTTTCACTTGTGGATTTGCTTAAATGTAAGCTTAACTCTTCAAATTGCAATTGGAAGAAAATTGTTTCAGAGTCTATAACTTTGATCCATCAAATCCTTGAGGAAGAGTTCATATTTAATCCTGCAGGAATCACATCTCAGATGAATTTGAGAGTTCTGCTAACGACCTGGCTCTGTGTTGGAGGGGAGGAGATTTCCATTTGAGTACTGTGAGTTGGTGATTGTAATTCTGAACCAACTCTCCCTTCCTTTCTTAGTTGTGATGGCAGTTGTATTTCGTAACTTGTTATTGCAGCTGTGGGAGAGTTCATTGAGATGTTACGAGTCATTATCTTTCAAGTGTAGGTTTAAGATTTAATGATGTTTTTCTTCAAGACAGATCATAAGTATGTTTTCCACTGAGATTCAAAAAGAGAGCTATTGTCACTACCTCATTTTGAAATAACAAATTTTGCCTCTTCTAAATCTGAATTTTAAAGTGGGTGCAGCAGCTAAAGTTAGTTTGAGATTATGAAAATTCAATAGATTTACCCCAAAAGAGAGGTAACTTTTGTGATGATACATCTGAATCACAAGCATTCAGGTACATTTCTACTGGAATATGAAATAGGAGAAAGCATTTGAATCAATTCATCTTCTTACTGTTAACCACTCTTTAAAAAATAAATGGTAAAAATGTATTTATATATGTGTGTGTGTGTGTGTGTGTGTTACATATATATGTATATAAAATATATATATATGATAGTAGAGTGACTTGACTATATAGAGGGTTTTCTGCCGCCCCACCCCCTACCCCCGGTAGCTTAGAATCTCAGTTGCAGTTGGGCTTCTCTTGCCCCTCATTTTTACCTGGCCACATGGTAAATAGCAAAAGTTCAGCAATGACTTAGGATACACCTCACTATGGCAGGAACCATGCTTGGCATTGATGTCTACAAAGAAGAAGATGAAGATTAGGGTATGTCCTTGCCATGGACTGTTGATAAGCAAGTAGGGAGATAGACACATTATCAGCGCTAACTGTAACAATAAGTTATCAGTTTCCGTATTAGTAATATAAACACAGCATAAAAGTAGCAAGTTGTGTGTTAACTTTTGTAAGGCAAACAAAAATTTGCTGATTTGGTTTTTCAGCAAGAGTTAAAGTTGCCCAATTGCCAACTTTTGCCTGTCTCCATGTTGTAGGCCAGAACTTGCAAGTGAGTAGACAACCATGGCTCAGTAATTAGATATGAAATTAACAATCTTGGAGAATTTAGGATTTGAAACCTTGGCCTTGTTAATACCATGCCAAAAGCAACACACAGAATTGCCCTAGATTTGAAATGAATGTAGAATTAGAACCAAATTGAATTTATTGTTAAGCTTTTTATAAACAGAGGTTAAACAATAAACACTCCTGGTCATACCCTGCTTATATCATAATCTAGTTTCACCACACTCAGTCCTGCTAGTGGTCTCCACAGAATAAGGTTCTTGAAGGCCAGAAAGGACAAGCTTGTACTGTGAACATATTGTTTAGTATCCATGAGGCACAGGGGTGCTGCCCATGCTTCCAGAGCCTGGAATAATTTCTCTCTCCAAATACAGAAGAACCCTTCAATGGGGAACATAGGGAGACACCTTAAGACCTCTGGTTGTAATTGTACACCAGTACCACTGGATAACAGGGTCATTGTTTTTTTCACTGCTCCTTCCCTAGCATATATGAGTAAATATATATATAGAATGATTGAGTGAGTTAACACCAGATTGTGAACCTCACAGATACCCAGGTGTGTTTCCTTAAACTAGCTATTACTAGAAGAAATGTTAACTATTTAAGTCAAACTAGTGGAAGCAGTATACCTTGTAAATTGGCAGGATGATATGATCACCTTCCCTTCATCTAGCACAAAAGAACTAGAGCTTCAAAAAATATTCACAGACTGATTGTATGATATTAAGACTCATTCATCAATATTTCAACTCTGTAAAGTAAGTTATAGTAAGCTCACCACTGGTAAGTTTGTGTCTTGGTTCCCTAGTGCTGTTGTTTCAAAATACACTACCATTGTTGTTGTTGTTGTTAGGTTCCACTGAGTTGGTTCCAACTCATAGTGACCCTGTGTCCAACAAAAAAAACCACTGTCCAGTCCTAGGCTATCATCACAATCCTTGCTGTGCTTAAGCCTATTATTGCAGCCACTGTGTCAATTCACCTCATTGAGCGTCTTCCCCTTTTGCATTGACCCTCTACTTTTCCAAACAGTATGTTCTCTGGGGACTGGCCCTTCCTGAAAACATGTCCAAAGTACATAAGCCAAAGTGTTGCCATTCTTGCTTCTAAGGACCATTCTGGCTGTATTTCTTCCAAGACGGATTTGTTTATTCTTCTGGCAGTCCATGATCTAGTCCATATTCTTCACCAAAACCAAAACTCAAATGCATCAATTCTTCTTCAGTCTTCCTTATTCATTGTCCAGCTTTAGCATGCATATGAAGCA